CCGTCACACTTTGCCCGAGTATCCTTTTTGGGGTCATAGTAATGAATTTGTGCTACCCGTGCCACCGCCTTTTTTTATTTCTTCGAAAATCAAGGAGTGCTGTCCCCCACTCAAATTTCTTCGCGGGCAATTTAACATTTTTCATCTTCTTTTTCTCGTTTTCTTCTCTTAACAGTGGTCTGAGCTGATCGGTTAGACTCGCTGCGTTAGGGATGAATTTAGAAAGATGGTTAATGCTACCCATAAACGATCTCAATTGTTTTAAGGACTTTGGATGTTCTAGTTTGAGTATTAAGTCTGTCTTGGTAACTTTTGGTGTTATGCCTTCTGGTGTACGTTAATGACCTAACCAGTTCCTTTCTGTCTGAAAAAATTCGCATTTTTCCAATTTTAACGCTAGATTTTCATTGTCCAATTTCTTCAACACGTCGATTACTAGCTTCTCATGTTCATGTTTTTCTCCCTTTGAGACGATCAAGATATCATCAAGGAAAGAGAAAGTGTTCATTGCATGAGTAAATGTTCGATCCATGGCTTTTTGAAATTCAGCAGGCATGTCTTCTAATCCGTAAAACCCGGAAAAAAACTTTAATGTTCCTGTTGCCTGCCCACCTACTATGTTAAAATTGCACTGCTCAGCTGTTTCTGCATTTAGTCTGATTTAGGCAGTAATTTATCCACATTTGGCATCTGGTGTTTGTTATTATACAGTGGCCTGTTTATGGGTTTTGCGTCTAACGCCAGTTTAATGGAGTCGTCTTTTTTCACCGTAATGACTATTGGAGCAATGAAACAGTCACTTGTGCATTTGTCAAGTTTTGTTATATGACCCTCTGATAACAACTTTGATATTTCTGCTTGCACCTTTTCTTGTATGTGTATAGGAATCCTCCTACCTTTTTCTTGAATGGGGCATAGTGCATATTTGAATTTTGTGTTAACCACATGATTTTTTGATTACCCCTTTTGATCAAATAGAGACGGGACTTTTTTGTAGAATTGATGTTTCATACCTTCCGACTGCTCGCACAGTAGCACGTCAAACCTAGATCTTTTTGAAGGTGCTGACTTCTGTGACGTATGGATTCCCAATTTTCCTTGTAAGTCTAGCCCCAGGATGCATCTTGCTCAGCTTTCTGTAACTAACAGCGATGCGTCTTGCACTTCCCACCCCGCTGAACGAATGCTAGTGCATACTGCTCTTAGTATCTGAATTGGTTGTTTGTTGTAGTCAACAAACTGTGTCGTCAGATTCAATTCTTCAGCTGGGATGAATTGAATCTTTGGAGCTGTTTTGCCATTGTCCAGTTTAGAAACGATACTGGACTTCCAGTATCTATGGTCATGTTTATAATTTGATTGTTCATCCTTACCAGCGCCTTCAATGCTTTTATTTGGTGCGACTTTGGATCTCTTCGAATGTCAATTTTTCGAACATCTTTCGTAGCTTTGATCTCTTTGTTATCATTTACTCCTGATATAATTTTTTCAATTAATTTTCCCGTTGAGTTGTTTAACCTGGGCTCGACCACCTTAATTTCAAACTCATCACAGGAATCAAAACTGTGAAGTAAGTTACACTCTTCTTCTGAACTCGAATTTTCTTCCGTAATCTCGTTCACTTGATTCGAGCGACACAATTTTGCAAAGTGGTTTCGCTTACTGCAGCTTTTACACGTTTTCCCCATAGCTGGACAACTTTTCAAATGTCCTTCGCCGAATGTTCTGCCAAATCTGGTACATGGTTTTTTTTCAGTTCGGGGTTTTGTGTCTTTTTTATCATTACATTTCTTTTTGAACTGATCCCTATTCGATCTCCTGTAGTTCAGATTTTTATTTCTCACTGCCATTATTGGCTCTTGTCATATTTTAATTTGAGACCCAGTTAGTTGGTCTCCACTTGAGCTTCCTACTACCGATTTTTGGAACGCTTGTGTTGTTTGCTTGCTTTGTTCAAATTTTATAGCTCGTTTGAGTACTTCATCTGGTGCGAACGTTTCGAACGTCAGAGTATCTTAAATTGTAGTATTTTTCATTCGGGATACGATCAGGTCTCGAACCAATTCCTCTTCAAATCCACCCAATTCAGCCGTGGCTGCTTGTGCAGTTAATATTGCATGAAAAGACTACAGTGTCTCTCCAGATTCTTGTGTTTTGGTGAATAATCTTTATCGCTCATACGTGATGTTTTTCGTTTTTTTGAAATGATACCTTAGCCAATCTCACCATATCTCTGAACTCAAGTTTTGATATTTCAATATGTGGATTTTTCTGCACGAATTTCCTTTTCCGTTCTGAGCTTAGCGCTAGGATAAACGAGACGTAAACGTTTTTGGACTTCATTATAGAACACATTATGTCCGACCTTAGGTCCGCGTTCCCTTCTTTCTTGGTTTTCGAGTATTTTTTGTCTCTTCTTAGTCTATCTCTCGCTTCCCGGTCCGTTACTGCCTGTGCATTTTCGGCTTCTCCCGGAGTTTCTGGGCGAGGCATTGGCTACCAATAACTTCTTTTTTGTTTCTTCTAGTATTATCTCAGGATTCACACTTTCTTTCACCGTCACTGCTAGCATAAATTGATCCAACCAAATTTTAAAACTCAACGGTGGATCCGAACTAGCTGACGTCCAGAACACTGGGATACCCATATCCGTTCGGTTATCCTGTGCCATGAATTCTGCTGGCTGCGCCATGTGGTAAGGAGATGTAATGCTGTAAGCTCAATTGAAAAGGAGATAGTTTCAAGAGTTTAATTCAATCTGAAACTTTGTTTTCTCTCTTATTAGGCGGTTCCGTGAATCAGCATATTTTGTCGTATCATCGTACGCAGAGCTAACTTAATAAATAAGGTCTATTCAATGATCAACACTGTATGACCTTGACTTAAGTTTAATAACAATATATATAATTACAGATACCGATATGCGTCCCAAGGTTAGTGTGCAGCGAGGTTAACATGATAACTGAATATGCAGTATGTGCTGTACCACAGCTTCAACAAAATCATTTAAACTCGTTTTAATCATAATAGTTAACATGAGACAATTTTTTTCGTGTGACATTTTAAAAACGTAACCGCAATAGATCCCTCACTCTATTCGGCAGCTGATTTAGTTTTGAAAAATTGTAGAATTCTAATTTAAACAGAGCTAGCAGAGACCTGAAAAAGTTTGCGTCCTTGTTTGAAAAAAAAATTGAACATATTTTTTGAAATGGCAATTTTGAGTTGATATTACCCTTATTCTTTGCCATTGTAGACAGTAAATTTACATTTCATTGATTTTTTCGACATTTTAAAAAAAGTCTGCATTTTAGTCAATTTTTTTCTCTAGAAAATGGATGCGTGAAAGCATGATGGTTGACAACAATAAAATGAGTCAAATTTTTGCAAATTCCATCAATATTCGCGCTGGAGTTTCATAGAGAAAAATTGATTGCTATGAATATTATATTCAAAAGTAGTTTTTTCAATGAATTATTAGTGACTATGAGAGCTTGAAATGGAGTTTAAACTCATTATTATTCATTTTTTCTGAGGAGTTCAAGATTGAGTATCCTTGATTTTACTCTAACTCAATCAGTATGGGTAACATTGGATATAAGCTGAAGAATTATGTTGCAAACGGCATTACTTAGGGCTACACGATTTCTAAATCTAATCAAATTTATATAACTCTAGTCTATATATAACTCTTTAAATTTATATATTCTACTCATTGAGAATTGAAGCACTATCATTTTTCTTTTTTAGTTTTGCACATGTAGGCAATTAATCAATAATTTTAAAGAGACTGATAATCAATTGACAAAATAATAAAATATTTAAATGGCTAAAAATGAAGAAAACATGGTACGGATTAAAAAATGATTTTCTATGCCTATTTGTTCCGACTTTCGATACGAAAGTAACGGAATATTTGTGCTCGGGGTGGTTTTTTTTTCTTCAGACAAATTTCGACTTTTTAACTAGCCATTTTTGATGGAATTTTTGAAATATCATTCGAAAGATATTGTTGTCCTGAGCTTAAATTTGAAAAGATATTTCACCTGTGATCATTTTTCTTAAAGTTATGAGGGTTTAAAGATTGCCATTTTGGCCATTTTGACCACTTTGGGACAATTAACGCGCGATATAATTCGCGCCATTAACGCGTAAGCGGAGATTTAATCCGTCTTAGAAATCGTTCAAAATTGGTTGAAAGAAGCTTATTTGCCATAATTGATTTGTTACAAGGAACGAAATCTATCCTTTTGTAGTTTATATGGCGTGTGGGGGGATGATTTTCATTTAAAAAAATTCAAATTTTAGAAAAAAATTTTTCGTTTTATTTTAAATCATTTCATTTTTTATTACTGCTCCATAATCCTTAAAAGGCAGTCGGAATATTCAGGGTTTCGCCCTGATACGAGCATTCTTGTTGTTCCGACTTTCGATACGAAAGTAACGGAATATTTGTGCTCGGGTGGGTTTTTTTTTCTTCAGACAAATTTCGACTTTTTAACTAGCCATTTTTGACGGAATTTTTTTATATCATTCAAAAAGTATTGTTGTCCTGAGCTTAAATTTGAAAAGATTTTTCACCTGTGATCATTTTTCGTAGAGTTATGAGGGTTTAAAGATAGCCATTTTGGCCATTTTGACCAATTTGGGACAATTAACGCGCGATATATTTCGCGCTGTTAATGCGTAAGCGGAGATTTAATCCGTCTTATAAATCGTTCCAAATTGGTTGAACGAAGCTTATTTGCCATAATTGATTTGTTACAAGGAACGAAATCTCTCTTTTTGTACTTTATATGGCGTGTGGGGGGATAATTTTTCACAAAAAATTTCAAATTTTAGAAAAAATTTTCATTTTATTTTATTTCATTTAATTTTTTTATGCTTTTACTGCTGCTCCATAAACCTTAAAAGGCAGTCGGAACATTCAGGGCTTCGCCCTGATACGAGCAGTCTTGTTTGTATTTGTGTTTTAAGTGGTCGCGTCTATGTTGTTGCAGGCAAGAGAAGTCAGCTTCGGATCACAGTGTCGTGTTTCATGCTGCTGGCAGTGTTTCTGTTCTGCTGGCTGCCAGACCAGACCTTCTTCTTCATGTACTCCATCCAGCCATTGGGGATCCATCTGCACCTTCATTCTATCCTCTACAGAGCAGTTGTCAACCTCGGATTTACTAACAGGCTTAAACAAGCTATTTTCCAGTGGCTTAACACTCATTAACAAAAACAAAATGTAACAACAAAATGTAACAAGACTGCTCGTATCAGGGCGAAGCCCTGAATGTTCCGACTGCCTCTTAAGGTTTATGGAGCAGCAATAATAACATTAAAAAATTAAATGAAATAAAATAAAATGAAATTTTTTTCTTAAACTTGATTTTTTTTTGGAAAATCATCCCCCCACACGCCATATAAAGTACAAAAAGACAAATTTCGTTCTTTGTAACAAATCAATTATGGCAAATAAGCTTCGTGCAACCAATTTAGAACGATTTATAAGACGGATTAAATCTCCGCTTACGCGTTAATAGCGCGAATTATATCACGCGTTAATTGTCCCAAATTGGTCAAAATGGCCAAAATGGCAATCTTTAAACCCTAATAACTTTACGAAAAATGATCACAGGTGAAATATTTTTTCAAATTTAAGCTCAGGACAACAATACCTTTTGAATGATATAAAAAAATTTCTGTCAAAAATGGCTAGTTAAAAAGTCGAAATTTGTCTGAAGAAAAAAAACCCACCCCGAGCACAAATATTCCGTTACTTTCGTATCGAAAGTCGGAACAACAAGATAGTCGGTTGCTGTGCAAGTATTGCAGAATTTTTTGACCACAATGATGGAGTTAAAGTTTTCCAAAATGCGAACAATTTCAGAAAAATTGATACAAATTTTTGCAATTTTTTTTTCAGTAAAGAGCGGTTGAGTTAAATTTAAAAAATTGCAAAAATTAGATGTAATGAAAGTTAAAATACTGTATAACTTGCAGTATGGATTAAGATTTCAGTCTCTTGCCGTGTCGTATGTAAGTTTTGTTTCATTAAGTCTGAAAAACGAAAAAATTCATGCCAAATTTTTTCAACACTGAAACAACTAAAGATGTTTTAAAATCCAAATCACGACCAAATTAGACTTTAATATAATATCACACTTGGTTACTTTTCAATCACACTTTTGGCGAGTTTTACCTTAAAAGGGCAAAGAAAAAGCATCCAAAACTTTTGGTCCTCCTCACATTGTGAAGTGGTCGGAACAATTATTATTAAGTAGAATTGAATCATCCTGAATTGTTTTCCTCAGGCTTATGACATTCCAATTTAAACTAGTTTGAAAAATGAACCCAGTCAAAATTGGGAAGACACTGGAAAATAGCAATGATATGAATAGTTTTTGCAACCCTTTTCTCTACTCGTTCCTCAACCCAACTTTCAAAAAGGCATTCCGCAAACTGGTGTTCAGATGCAGAGCATGTCGAACAGGTTCAAGAAACCGACCATTTAATACCCATAACGATCTCACACTCTCGTCCCTCCATACATCGGCAGACACCGTCGATCAGACAAGTGCCCAGATGTGAACAAACTGAACCAGCATCTGATCTTCTTAAAAGCTGATCCAAAGAAACCAGAAGCATGCGCTGGGATGGTTACAAAGGAAACAGCAAAACGCCTTTGGTACAATATTAAACTAAATCAGTTTTGACCTACCAATTTTTGCGCGATTGTCAAGTTTAAAAAACACACAGGCCGAAAAACATTGAAAAACATTTCTTTGAAAAACATTGTCAAAACTTTCTGCGCACGCTGGCGGTGGTTGCTCATGCTCAAAAGTTGTTTCTCTTTGTAGCCATAACTTGCAAGCTATCTTCCCTAAAGTTATTGAGAATTCAACTAATTTAGAAAGGCATCTTGAATGTTATATGTAATTGGTTATTTCTTGTTTTGCGAAAAAAATGTTCATTGCTTCACTATTGGCATTGAGATCCCAGGACAAGAAACTAGCGCAAATTTTTGAATTGAGCCAACATTTTTGAGAAAAATTAGCGAAACGTTTCATAAGCGCTGAGATCTGGAACTATGTTTGGTTTGTGGATAGCTGAAGATGCGAAAGAAATGTCTCATACTGAGAGACAAAAAAGATCTTGCATTAAAACCACCCGTTCTAGTAAAAAACGGTTGAAAGTTTTTAATTCGTCATTTTTTTTTGCTGTTGGACGCACAAAAACCCAACAAACACAACAAAAACAAGACGCAACAAGAAAAATTGCGAGCCAGTTTCGAGGTTCAATTTGCGCGATCCTCTGTGCACTATATGCGCGATTGTTCTGTTCTGTCACCAGACCTAAATCAAACAAAAAGTCTCAATGAAAATGAATTAAACTTGTATCTCAGCAAAATTTCTCAGCAAAGTTGTATCTCATCTAGCAAATTTTATCTCAACTACAGTCAGCCGACATAGAATTTGCAACTTTTTGACTTTAAAAAGCAATTAAACGGTTTTACTTTTATTTTTACCGTTTTATCTGCACCGTTTTAAACGTTTTTACCGTTTTAAACGTTTTTTTACCGTTTTTAATTTTTTAACGTTTCATCTGCAACTTTTCAAGCTACAGGATTGCATTTTTGACATCTGCTAGATGAAATTATTTGTAAGGTCGTCGCCAGGCCAAAATTTGAAAAATCTAATTTAAAATTTGAAACATATTCTCGCAACGAACATAACGAATTTGAAGACACTTGAATATATCGTTTTAATATAGTTCTTTGGGAAGCTAATGAGTATGACCTTTTTTTCTATGCCGCCAAAAATGACACCAGATCTGAAAAAACTACTGGGAAAGAAGTTGAAAAACGGTCTTGACTGTTTTGACGACACATACATAAAAAATTTGCGGGAGCTTATACCAAAAAGATAAACAAAAGTTTCAATAACCTAACTCCTAATAGGAATCCTGTACATATATTGGAACAATAATTTTTCCGAAATAATAGCACAAACAGTTCTTTGGTTTTCTTGTTTCAATCATCAGTGCAAGTTATTCATGAAAGTTTAGCCGTTTTCTCACGCCAGACAGACCAAGTAAGTCTTTCAATTCTGTTATCTATCATTTTTGGCGGCATAAAAAGTAGGTCAAGTTCATTAGCTTTCAAAGAAAAATTAAAGAATCAACTTTCTTATGTTGTTTGCGAGAATATTTCTACAGCTAGACAATTCCAAAACTAGTTGTGTTATAATGGCTAGTTTACGCTTTCAAATCAAGATTTTTCAAACTTTGGTGCGGCTGAGCCCTTCCAAATAGTTCTAAGGCCCGAGCACCAATTGAGATCGAAAAACAATTTTCCGGCAGCAACAAGATGAAAAGAAGAAAAAAAATCGGTTTTCTGTTATACGTTGAACGAAACAATACTGTGTTCGAGTTGTAACTGCATAAAAAACTTGTCTACAAATAAAACTTAAAGACTAATTTACTTTTGAACAATCTAAAAATTAGAAAATCAGTCTAATAATAACATTGACTCGTGAATTCTTTCTGTTTTTTTAAGTTAATCATTTGATTTTTTTCTATTGGAACATCAAGGAAAAACTACAGGGCTCGCAGCAAGTTGTTTGAAAATGTTTTGTCCCAAAATCATATAATTTTTGGCTAAAAATTAGCTGTAGTTTCTACAAAATCAAAGACACATAGAAAATAACTGTCCCAACATGATTTCAAAGCATCCTATAGGTTTTCTATAAGAAACTTGTCATGCCGTTCGTTACAGTTTTGAATAAAAAATTTTTTTTTGAGAGATCTAAAATGAAAATTTTTCAGTATCATAACATTTTTTCTCAAATTCGAAAATTTGAGAGAATGTCTCAAGCAAAACAGAAACTGCATAATTGTCATCCCAAATCATAAAAAATCCTACTCGTTGAATCATTTAAAAAGTTACAAAATATTGAAAATCAAAATTTCAGTGGATCATGATCTGTTTTTTTTCCAGATTAATTTTCATTTTCTCTTATGAGGAATTGAATGAGGTTTCTCACAAAATTATCGTTGACATCTTTGGTTTCTTTGTTCAGACAAAAATTATAATTTTTGCTTTCGATTTTCAGAAAATCTTTGTATGAGCATAATAGAGTTGAAATTTCAACTTTTCTAAAGCAAAAAGTTTTCTCACTGAATTTGAGAGTTTCTTCAGAGTTTTAATTAGCCATGTAAAACATGCTTATGATAAAACTTTTAAATTATAGGAACTATTTGGTTAGCAGTTTTCTCATACGTTTTCTGGTATTGTATGAAAATGGGGAGGAACTTTGTTTTCATAGGTGTTTTGTTTTTTTATTTATGTTTTTTTAGTCTTCCACACAACAAGTTGTTTTGTTTTCCACACACAGCTACCACAAATAATCATCGAAGTGAGTTGAGCAAGATTGCAAAAAAGTCTTTTCAGTCGTGATTCGAACGACGTTAAAAAGTTCCAGAAAATTTTTGCCGAGATTTTCCATTTTATTTTCGAGTGAGTAAAGCGAGCGAGCAGGCTTCTTATCGGTTTGCAAAACTCCAGGCTTCGTAGAGGTTTTTTGCGACATTTCAAGAGTGAAAAAATTCTAAAATTCAAAAATGTTTGGCTAAAAAACTTTAAGAAATAATGTCTTTGTGATGTATTATGCAACTTGCTTAGTAATATACAGTTCTTGCTTTGTTTTGAATTCACGAAACATAATACAAACTGTTTTTTGCAATAAGTTGCATATTTGGAGCAACTGTGATTAATCCATCAAAAAATTGTTACAGCTGCCATGAATCAAAACGAGAACAGTAGGCAAAACAAGAAGCACAAAAATTCAAGAAAATAGGAAACAGCAGCCTTTTAACAGAAAAAAAGTTTTGCGTTTTTGGTTTTTGTTCATATAATTATTGAAGATTGCAGTTTGTTGTATTTAGTGTGCTTTCTCAATTGACCATTTTTTCTTGTAGTAATGTAAGCACATAAAAAAGTGAAACTTTTCCGGCAGATTCAGTAAAAGTTTTCTTAGAGATTCAAATACATAAAAACATTATAAAATTATGAAATTTACTGAAAAAATTAAAGACAACAGAAAAATAGACAAGTTAACATAGCAAAAGTAAGATTTTTGCAATAAAAAGATAGCTTAAGGACAGTAGTGTGAAGCAATTCCGTGTTCAAAAAATTTGAAACAACTGAGAAACACCTGTAAAGATTTATCTGTGCGACTTTGTTGTTTAAATGCATGTTTCAGAATCTTATCTGAGCTCCTAGTGTGCTATTATGATTAGAAAATACGAATTAATTTTTATGACGACTTCTATCGAAAATGATATTTAAAATGTTCCATATTTTCAAAAAAAAACGAAGCAAAAACTGCCGGTTGCTGTTTAAAAGCACAAAAAATACGATTCGATATTATTTCTGAAAACAAAATCGGCATGATCAAACGATTTACAAAATTTCATTTTTTCTGTTAGTTTCAAATTCTTCGGAACAAAAGAATAGAATCACTGAGTTTTTTCAACCACACTGTTGATTTTTTTTAGAAAAGAAAACGGTCGATGTTATTTATTTAGCAACTTGCTCAAAAGTCCGCAGTTCTTATTTTGTTTTGTTTTTATGCAACGTTTTTATTCGCATTCGCTTTCCTTCTTGGTGCAATTCAATTTAATCAGTAACAACTAATGATATTCGCATGAAACAAAAAGATGAGAAGCAGATACAAAGAACACAAAAATACACAAAAAACACAAAAATACCAGAAAAACGGACATAGTTGATGAGATTTTCAGATTTTTTTTCTTTAAAATCGTTTACAAGCGTTTTGGTACGTAAAAACAGGCTCAAAAATAGCGCAAAACTAAGTTCAGACTCAATAATTGGCCGAAAATAATAGAGTTCAGAAATAATCAGTGCTCGCCTTCAATGAAAAGCAAAATGAGTTTTTCGATTTCAGTTTTTTTTTGCAAATAAGCCTCCAAAACATTCATTTTGGTTCAACATTGCAAAAAAAAGTTTGAGGTTTAAAATTAGCAAATGAAAATTTGAATGATAATTTGGATTTTTTGAAAAAACAAAGCCAAGATTTTTTCGAACTTGTATGATTTTGCAGCGCCTTATTCGTCTTTGTTTGATTATGTTCGTTTTTAACAGAAATTGTTTGACTTTCCTCAATTTAGTTTGATGTAACTGAACTTTGTATGACTTTACTGGAAATTGTTCGAAACTGTTTGGTATTGTTCCACTCAACTTGACTTTGATTACTTTTTTTTGGTAGTTTCGCAGTTATATTTTTATGTTTTTCCACAAGAACTTTTGATATCATTTTGCATTTGCAACAATTCCTAAAACCAAACCTTGAAATGTCCTAAACTTTAGACAAAAAAAAATAAAAATTTCTAGCGTCAGATAAAAAACAACCTGTTGTTCCGACTTCGATAAACGAAAGTAATGGAATATTTGTGCTCGTGGTGGTTCTTTTTTTTAGGTTTGTCTTTTGCATCAAATATTAACTCGAAATTAGATGAAGTACACAACTGCAAAGAAGTTACTCAAAAACAAAAAGAATATATGATAACAGAGAGGTGGTCCAAATTATTATTGTAAGTTATTATTGTTGTAGCTATTGTTGTAATTATTATCGAAAAACTAAATTTCATTTTTGAAATGCAT